AACGACTTTAAATATAAATTATTTCTATTCTTTCATAGAAATGATATTATGATGTATTTAAATAAGTTAATTCTTTTTTTTTATAAAAGTAAACAGTAAGTCAAGAAGCACATACAAGTCGTAAATGTCCTGTATGTGTACTTAGGCTGACTTAATTAAGATCAAAAGCTGTATATTTCTGTTTCAGCTGCTATACGAAGAGAACTGCCCGCGATACCAGCAAGAAAAGCAAAGGATCCTGAAGGCGTTCACCGAGGAGAGTCTCCTAGCGCCCTACAGGGATCTATTTCACAAGATCGCTCAGATGACTGGGACCAACTTCAGCACGCCGCAGGACGCGTACCACATGCATAATCTGTTTCTGATACAGGTACGTTGGGAAAACTAGCTATTGCCCACGGCTTTGCACGTGTTTTTTTTGCATTTAACATTTATTTTATTTATCATACTTTATATCTACCGTCTTAATCCATATGGGAAAATTATCAATCTATATGTTACGGTCAAAGTGATAAATGTGAAAATTATGAATAATCGCCGGTTATTATGAATAATTACCGCATGATTTGGTTAATGTGATTAATATGAGGTCATTTATGTGTGTATAAAACTAAATAGGCGGCTTAGGGGTGGCCCAAGGGCCACCCCCGCCGCACCTTAACCTATTTTTCACTTTAAATCAAAACATTATGTTATAGGCATCATGGAAAAGTAATATTATGCAAGAAACATTCCAAACTCATTATGCCAAATTATATTAATATATGATATCAAAACGTTCAAAAGTTTGGCTGTACACGAGCACGTACACAACATGTTGTTCTCTTTTAAGAAATTTGTTAGTACTAAGGTTGAATTATTAAATAATCACTGTTAAATGTGATTAATTTATCACTTTTACCGCGACTGTCGGTAATTATTCATAATAACCGGTTATTATTAATAATTTTCAATTTATCACATTAACCGTAACATATATATATAAAAATGAAACCCGTTTCGCGTTGTCACGGCATCACGTGTGAACGGCTGAACCGATTTCGATAATTCTTTTTTTTAAATGTTTGTGGAAGTCCAAGGATGGTTCTTACGGAAAAAAATATTAAGAAAATCTCTACGCTAAGGCGGTACGAAGTTCGCCGGGTCAGCTAGTAATGATATAAAAGCGTGTCATTCATTTCATTTTTATATCAATACGTCGAATCACAGTTTTGCTAACCAACAGACATTTCTTTATGATCACTGAAATATCTTATCTATCATTTCAACAATAAGATTTTCACTCCTTGTCATTTAATCACATAAAAACAAACTAGCTATCGATTTTAGTTTGAAATCTTTTTAAATTAAAACTAAGTGGACTAACGATGATTTATTGTGACTTCGATTGGTCACATCGGAGGTATTGGTAACGCAACTTTACATAAAAATACGTACCTTACCTACTCATAGCACGTGGACATTCTACTGAACATATGGTATTAATTTACGTAGAACGTAGACTTAATACGTTTTGAGATTACGCGACAATAAATTATATTATGTTATTAATCAGTAAAACGATCACAACATGAATTTTCCTATTTCATTCATCTTTTTCTCACTCTGAGACGCAGTCAAAATGAATTTTAAAGTCAAGTTTGCCTACAATGCAGTTTACATTGCATTAATATCTAAAGGATCAATTTCCTTCCCGAAATCAGATAATCACTTAGCTTTTTCCCTCATCAATATTAAGGCTACTTTGTCTATTAAAATATCTCATAGACTAAACTTTTCAGGACGATATAAAAGTACCAAATCCGAAGTGGGCGAAGCATGTGAAGAGAAAACTGATGGACGTAGCACGGCTGGAGTACTCAATGATGTTCCACAACAATCTGCTGCGGAAACTAAGTGGTGGTGAGATTATTTTGTTTTTTTCTTTAAATTAAGTCCTTTTTTTTCGACTGGAAAATGCATTGAGTTGCATACCCAATGGCTCGGGGGGGCCAATGGGTTATGTGGGGCTCTCCCTGCTAGAAGAGCAGGGCCTACCCACTAAAAACCAGTCGGGTCCCTCTGGTCGCGCTTAGTGGGGCACACCGCGAGTCAAACCAATTGTTCGGGTGCGTGCCCCCACGCTACAGCCGCAGCCTCTCCCATTCTTTAAATTAAGTTCTGTGCTGACCTAGAAGAAAATTCTATTGTCCCCATAGGGGAAGCAATCAGGAATTTTTAGGACTTTATGCTGTTTTCAAAAGACGAAAAATCTCTAATTTTTTGGCTACTTCGAAGTGCTTACAAATGGTCAAATTTTTCAAAAACATAGGTGGTCGCTATAGCTGTTTATAAGTGGCCAATGAACGAGTTTATGTATTGGTATAGACCTATGCCGAATAAAGCAAGGTTTTGAAGTTTGTATACAACTGCGTATTTAGTTTTTTTTGACACGTGTATCAGCCTCGTGGACGGAACCAAAGCATTTAGATAAACTTGTTTCTAAAGAATTTTAAATACTTACAAAAAGGAATTCAATATTGAAGACAATTCATGCGTGTCTAAACCTAAGACATGTAGGTACAATGTAAATACGTGCTTTATTTCTTTGAAATTATCACAAGAGGCATTGCTTACATATTTAATTCTTTGTTGTATGTAGATACTCACATAACTTATTTCCTATTGTATTTCATGTGGCTATTCTAGTTATCTATGTCAAATTGTTAGCGTTTGAATGGCTACTTAACGTCAATTGAATCAAATTAATATCATCAAGGGCATACTCCTGCCCTTGAATGGTCGGGAATACGAGTACTTCCGTGGTACTCTATAAAATTATTACTATTGAAATAAGTAGGTACGCAACTAAGATAAAAAACTTTTTTTAAAATTTAACTAGCTTTTGACCACTGCACCGCCCGCGTGAATTTTAGGCTGTCACAGAAATCGCGGGCGAATCCTTAACGATATCATTTACTATTGTATGTTTTCCTCGGGGTTAAGCCTAGGCGCAGAACACCGATTTGTAGTTGGCTGATAGTTGGGCCCGATTCTAATTTGTATGAAGAATCGGCCGATACCAAATCGGTGTAATGTGCGCTCTTTCATACATCTCCAAACTGATTAACAGCCCGACCCAACTATCGGCCAACTAAAAGTCGGTGGTCTGCGCCTTGGCTAAGCCCCAGGGGAAAACTATCTCAATCTAAACTATTTCAGTATAGATAAGTACGCATTTTATGTTTTTTGACCGATTTCATTTCACAGGGGCATTACTGCAACAGATTATAAAGGAAGCTGTCTCGAGTACCGTAGATAAGACTAGCCCTCGAGTCATAGTACGGACTGGGACCCCAGTGTCTGTCGCAGCCCTATTAGCCGCCTGCGTAGCGCCGCCGCCACGTCTGCCTGACCCGGGAGCGGCGCTGCTGTTCGAGCTACACGAAAAGCTACCTTCTAACCAGAGCAAGAAGGATCAGAAAAACTTGACAGACGGACTGAGATTCGGGTTTAAGGTAATCTAATTTCTTTTTTTATCACGATACATTATGACAGAACGAACTCCTAAATATATTCAATTTGAAACATATATTGAGGCTTATACACTCGCGAGCAAAACTATGGAATCACTTACATGAAGTTGTTTCCACGCGAACTTGTGTACTAACGAATTTGTTAGGAACAAAAAAAGTGGCACCATTTTAAAGATTAAACTTTTATCTTTAAATTGATACCATATTCATTTAAATCACACCAGTATTTAAAAAGATATCCCGGCTGATGTGAAGAAGTAACGAAAAAGACATGTATGAACTGTTTGATACGTCGCGAGTTGCGGCTTATTTACCCCCTATAAAAGCACGCGTTTTCGGATTTTCGCTTTCACACGTTGATTCATACACAAAACTTTCGAAACCCAGGACTGGCTTATGTGGCGCTGACGTGCGACAGCCCGCTGGCTGAGCCCTTCTAGCAATAGTGCAACGATTTGTGCTGCTTCTGAAGATGTAGAATCCCAGGTAAAGTGTCAAAAGAAGCGGAGATGTGTATGAATCAACGTGTGAAAGCGAAAATCCGAAAACGCGTGCTTTTATAGGGGGTAAATAAGCCGCAACTCGCGACGTATCAAACAGTTCATACGTCATGTCTTTTTCGTTACTTCTTCACATCAGCCGGGATATCTTTTTAAATACTGGTGTGATTTAAATGAATTTGGTATCAATTTAAAGATAAAAGTTTAATCTTTAAAATGGTGCCACTTTTTTTGTTCCTAACAGATTCGTTAGTACACAAGATCGCGTGGAAACAACTTCATGTAAGTGATTCCATACTTTTGCTCGCGAGTGTATTTGTTAGTTTTCAATATTTAATGAGACCGTCGATTGAATCGACTTTTGAAGATTGCTTTTTCAAGTATAATAATATCTTCAATATCACGAATCACGCGATTTCATGAGTTTTTAATAACCAACATTTTTTTCACGCTCCTGATTCTGTTTTATAAACAGTAGCGATATTAGAAGCAAAATATGAAACGCAATTCGTTAAGAAAACGATGAGTAATATTTTTTACATCTTATGTCAGTCACCAGGGCGGTACTTTTGTTTTAGCACAATGATGTTTATGTATGTATCTTTCTACTAAATAATTGCTATAATTTGTTTTCCTTTCAGATATATTACTGGGACGACGACTCGGCTGAGCCTCGACTAATGGAGGTTCCCGGTTGCAACGCCTTCTGCCCGTTAGAGACGTTCACCGAACTTACCAAATACATAGTTTCACACGACTATAACAAAGACTGCACAGTGGTTCCTATGGCATAGTTTAACATTGCAGGTTTAGTTGTAAGGTATGGACGTAATTGATGTATAAGAAAAAATCATCGAGATAAGTGTGGTAGTTAGTTGAAACGCGTTCGGGTTAAGAGTAAAAACGAGAGAAGGCTGTGTTATTTGAAAATGAGCATTATACTAGTAGAAATAAAAGTTTTGTGTGTCAAATGCGTTTCGCTTACCTTCGTCTATTTTGAGGGCGGTTTCATCTCGGGGGATGTTCATGGAGATCTCTGCAAACTCGTCGGCGCCCCACGTTTGAGTTCCGCGTTGTTTTAGGTACTCGGCGATGAGAGCGGCTATGTGGAGTTGGCAGCACATAGCCTGAAAACAAAAGACGATTTCAGGAATGTTGAAGTCGCAAATGAATAGATTGAGAACTACTTGAAATGTATAACGTTCACACAAATGCTACACAAGTTTCTTTGTAAACTACACACTTTTCTCCCGTTCTATGTGCAAGTGCTCACGCCAGTAGGGCTATTCCGAAAAGCTGTTTACGTATAAGTTGTTCGGGTCTTTCTGTCACCGTAACTCTTGCGGCATCTCGCTTTGCGTGTGAGGGATGGCAACATTCGAAACTTTGGATAACGTTTTTTGGAATAACCCGCAGTTTCTTTATTCTCGTACACCTAGACTGTTTCTCTAGTGAGCTGATTTTCATTTTGTCTATTTTTCGCAAATTACAAAAATAATAATGTGTGTTTACCTCATCATGATCTCCGTGGCGTGCATTGTGTTCGGCCAGTGTTGCCAGCCACGCGTGTCTTAGTCGCGGTGTTGCCCGACACGACGCCGCTAGCGTGTGTTGCAACTCCGCCAAATGCACACTAACCTTCTTAAAAAATAAGAACTATGTCTAGTGTTTACCTCATCATGGTCTCCGTGGCGTGCATTGTGCTCGGCCAGTGTTGCCAGCCACGCGTGCCTCAAACGCGGTGTTGCCCGACACGACGCCGCTAGCGTGTGTTGCAACTCCCCCAAATGCACACTAACCTTCTTAAAAATTAAGAAATATGTCTAGTGTTTACCTCATCATGATCTCCGTGGCGTGCATTGTGTTCGGCCAGTGTTGCCAGCCACGCGTGCCTCAAACGCGGTGTTGCCCGACACGACGCTGCTAAGGCGTGTTGCAACTCCCCCAAAGGCACGCTATCCTTCTTAAAAAATAAGAACTATGTCTAGTGTTTACCTCATCATGGTCTCCGTGGCGTGCATTGTGTTCGGCCAGTGTTGCCAGCCACGCGTGCCTCAAACGCGGTGTTGCCCGACACGAAGCTGCTAGCGCGTGTTGCAACTCCGCCAAATGGACGCTGCCCGCACCTATATTATTATTTATAATAGTTTAAGTGTTTAGTATAATCGGATTCCTGAGTATCGATCATAGAGATTGCAGCATTTGATCAAATGTATGATAAAAAACATTTAAAAGTTTACGGACAGTTCAATATATAATTATAGGCCTAAATAAAGGGTAAAGTCCAGTACGCTCTGTAAATCTGTATTGCTTCACATTTTATACTGTTAAATTTATGAGTTAGATAGATGGCGAAATCTGAAAAACTGAAGTGTAGACGCTAGTCACTGATAATTTTATGTGATAATAACGCCAAGTCCCAATTAAAGCAAAGCGTATAAGCTGGTAGACAAACAACAAATATAAACATACTATTGTGCATAAATATAGCTGATACTGAGCCCAAATAGAATGCTCATCTTCCAAATGTTAGCATAGTGCGGGAATCAAACCAGTGACCTCTATCGACTAGTCCGCGTTAACTTACCCGCCGCACCAGTGCCGCCCACGCCAGCCAATCGCGCCCGCGCTCCCACCACAGTGCGCACGCGACGCATCAGCTCCGCTACTTCGCTGGATAAACCTAATCATACAATTTTACTTCAGTTAACTGAGAAAACCAATAACAATATAGTTGGAAATGTAATTTGCACTTTATTACTACAATTTTAAACCCGAAACAATATTTGACACTGTATAGGATGAACAGAATAAAACTGTATTGATGCCTTTTGGTGTGTACCAATATGAATAATTCCATTAATTTCAAGGCAGAACTTTTTTAAAAGAACACTTATTTCTAGCTCGTTTAGTTTTCATGTTTTTGAGAATTTGTGAACAATAGAGTTAAGTCAATTTAATTGGCAAAAAGTGACGTCATAGCTTATCTTTGTTATACAAATGTTTTTGTCACCAAAAATTACTTACCAGTTCCCTTCATAGCTTTGTCGCCAGTAGCAAAACAGTTGATAACGGAGAGAGATTCTTGGAATCTTTTGCAATTCAGAGCGGTGGAACTGTCTAACAATTTCGAGACGGCGATAATAACCTGTAATTTGCATAAATTAACATATCAATTAGTTATTTCTTTCAAGAAAAACAAGGCGAGTTAAATATAAACGTAACACAATGTCAAAAATATCTCCGGTGGGGTTTGAAAAATAATTAAAGAAAAACACTGCGCCGCAACTAGTTTAACATTTTACTTTAGATTATATTAAATAAAATCTACTTTTAAAACCCGTATACACGAAAAAATCAATCGCAAACTTCTATTGGCTGTGCCGACTCAGGCGCTAAGAATTTTTACCCGACTGCGCCAGAAGGAGGGTTATTTGACAATCTTCTTTCAAGTCTGCAATTGGACTATAAATTGGGGAATAAATACACAAGCAATATTATACTATAATTGTCCCAGCTGGGAATGTAATGCAGAACGATCGATTCCAGAGATAGCAACTCTCTTACCACTGGATCGTGGATGCTCAAACATTCCAGGCTGAATTCATTATCCCAACTAATATTATCGCATTTATGTAAGTTGGTAGCGGCGACTGGTTGCGCCGCCATGGTGTCCCGGTGAAATATAGCCCTTAAGGTATATCTTTATGGAGTCTTAATTGGTATTACCTGCAGATGAACTCTTGTAAGATTTCCCCCAGACCCGTGTTGGAAGTTAGCTCGCATCAGCAAGTACAGGGCAGCGGCCGCTTCTCGCCGTAGCCACGCTGCGCGCGCTTCGCACAGTTTCACTACTGCGCTTACCACTCCTGCGCATAAGGTGCTGCCACCTAGAGGGGAAAAATAGAATCAAAATATCTCTATTCTTGAATTTATTTGGAATATGACCCAAATTATAGTCAAGGTGATTTTCTCGTCTTTAGCTATTTAGTAAGGGTCGGCGTATCTTTTATGATGCTGTAAGTAGCGCAATAGGTCATAAAATGGAATCTAACTAAGAAATTCATTTAGAGTCAACTGGGTCAGAAGGCCGTGTCGATTTATCAATCTATCAAAATATGACGATATCGGTATGTGATCAATCCACTGGTGGACATTGCAACTTTTTTTCTCGATGTCCACCAGTGGTGGATAAATAGTGGGGGACATCGGGAATAAACGGATCAATCTCCACATTATTATTGCAATGGAAACTTTCTTACCTTCAAAAAGCGTCTCAGAAAACTGATTGATATACGCTCTGAGTGCAGCAAAGATATGTTTATACAACGACTCGCTTTGCGGGTAGTGCAGAAGTTTCAAATATGGCTTCGCTGCTACTCCGTCTGCGGCGCCCAGGTTCTTCATAAAGAGACAGGCTCGGTCGATGATGGTGAGACCCACTTCTGTTGCTAGGCAACCAGCTGACAGAATCGTGTGCTCTGCTATTGCTTCCAGCTCTGCGAAACAAGCGTTTTTATAGTAAACGACTTTTGCAATCTAGAAAGTTACAACTATGTCATTGCCATAATTTGTCAATTTGTAACTGTCTCTAAAACCTAAAACTAAAGTGGATGACTTTAAATAAATAACTGTCCCTAAAAATTTAACATCAAAGCGGAGAAGTTTAATACGAGTATGTATGTTTTTTTCATAGTCATAGTCATATAGTTATACCACTAACCTGTCGTCACAGTATTAGTGACCAGATTTTCTCTGTTGACTGTGTTGTTTTTATTTTCCACTGCTATCGGGGGTTCCTTGGAGAAATCTGGGGGGCTCATCCTAGCGGGCAAGGTACGAGCTTTCACGGGCTTCGGCTTGCCGTTGCAGTCTGGTGTGGTCGCCTTCAGTTCTGATAGGATCTTCTTTCTGCCTACGTACTGGAACTGCTCGGCACATATCCTAAAAGATAATTAATAATAACAGAACTGAGCTTCTGTCACACACAATAAGATACATTAGGGTTTGATTGTTGTGTGTAATAAAGAAGGATGAAAGGACCAAACAGGCATCAGTATCTCAAACAAACTTGAGACACAGTGCCCTTACACGCTCCGTGGTCATGTGAAAACAAGGTTTATTTACAGTTTACACGATTACGTGTCGATTCTGACATAAAAGAGAGCCATGAACTCGCTATTATTTAGTTTTATTCGGTTTGAATTTACTTTGTGCATCTCATTATGTCGATAAAAATAATGATGTTCTGGCCTATTAAAATATTAGAGCATGATTTATATTCCTTAAAATCATGAGCTTTTTAAATCGGAAATCTAGTCACCTAGCAAACAAAATATACTTATGTCTGTTCCAAACCACAGAAGATGCAAAAATCTTGAAGCAGTCTATGTTATCTATGGCGTTATACTTACTCTAGAACGTTAAAGAACGACTGCTGTTGCGCTTGCGAGTGTGTCCTCCACCACTCGACCAGCCTGTCCTCGTCCAAGTACTTCAACACAAACAGGAAACACAAAAGCACATCGCGCACCTCCTCAGCGGATATCACACCGAATCTGGACATACACAACACATGAATATTAGCCTTATACCCAGGAGCGTAGATATAGTTATTGTATGGCAAGGATGGTAAACTATTTCAAGAAAGTATGGGTCATTAGAAATGGGTTATTCTGATATTTTTTTTAGGATAATTTAAAATTTACTCTATCTTAATAATATACCCCATCTTTCAATAGAATTGATTTTGCATAGTAGATAATATAATATACTATTTTGAGACTGCTATAATATTGGCTCAAAGATTACGTGTTAAATTTTTAGGTCCATACTTATTACGAAACTCGATTCAATTCGAAGCATAGATTAAGCCAAGTTTAATTTCATCATTTAGCTATGTTTAATAAACAAAATTTAATTAAAACACTACTGCAAATATCAATTTTATAAATATTTACCGATTGACTTGATCGCCAATTTCGCCCAAGTCGAGCCGCCCGAAGTTTCTCGGCAGCGAGTCGCCGCCAGACATGGTTGAGACGGACTCTAGCGAGCTTTGCGACACATTGTTTGTGTGATCTACAAACAGAGTGCTGGTCAAGCCATAACAAAACTTTAGTGCACGACGACACTTCCTGATTGAACAAAACAAAGATGTTGGAGATTTTGTTTGCAAAGAAAGATTTAATAGGGAACTAGTTTGAACTACCGTTCTGTAGCTGATGAGTATACATACAGGGTATTCGGAAGAGGGTTAGCTAAACAGTTGGGTGCTTTCAACAAATTCGGCTATTTGATCCCATGGGACTAACTTTTCAAATATTTTTTTATTTAATATTTTACGGGACCATTAATGTCTCAGTAAAGCTAAATTTGTAACTAGTTGAATATTTAAATAATTGATAATAGTTTGATTAGGAAAGCTCAAAACACTCCAAAACCATATGGGACACCACAATAAGAAAACAAATATCTGTCATTACACTACGTTTCAATTTTCATACCTTTTAGATACATGACGCCGCTTTGAATCACGGGCGGTTCCTTGAAATGTGCGGAGTTCCTTACGGGCGTATGGTCGAAGTGTAGCGTGAGCCTGTTTCGTCGCGGAGTGCTGTTTGCTGACGTCACGTCCTTGGATTCAGTCTTGATGGCGGGCGCGGCGGTTGCGTCACCGTCCACTTTGTCGTGGCCGTTCTCGAGTATTGGACTGGCGAGGGATTTGGTTACAAGGCGGTGGGCATTATCTGTTGAAATGTGAAATGTATTTAAGATTGAAAGGGAATTAATTTTGTGTCTATCGATACATAGAGCTACAGCTTAGAGAGTTACAAAATTTACATCGGTATTTGACACATTGTTTCGTAGAACATAATTGTGCCATTAAATTATAACACTTTTTACGGTTTTGCAAATATATTACAATCATGACAGTTCAGTACAATGGAAAAAAAAAGAGTGAAAACAAAAGAAGTTCTATAATAATTAAAAATAAAACGCCGCGCCGCGCACAGATTAGTGCAAAGAGGCTGAACGCCGCAACACACATTATTTTGTGATCGTAATGGGATACCGGGATACCAGGATTCGGTATTAAACACTCTTAAAATTTTTTCGACACATATCGTTCCGAATACTAACGACTGTAGGCCTAGAATGAGCGCGCCAATGAGCTTTTATCGGACTATTTTATCGGTTTCACGCGTTAAGCCCACACATTTGTCGTCTAAAATGATCGATACGATTTTATCACGCCGCGCATCCTAGCCCGGCTGATCGTTGCTGTTTGGTATCTCAAAATTTTAATAACTTACCCAGTACTATCGTGAGCCACGGGGCATAAAGGTGAGCAATCCGCGCGCGGCACTGCGCCGACCGATACCGGTCGTCGTGTTCGTGTTTGGTCAGCAAAGCGCGGAGCACTCCTAACGCCGTACGCCGCTTTTGAGGCGCTTCTCTTAGGGATTGTTCTACCTGAAAGAAAAATAAAATTATACTTACACATCTTAACACTTGTTTTCATATTTGCACAACAATTACTTTGTCCTCAAACTAACAACCGTACGGTAACCGTAGTCTAAGAGTACTCATTACCAACATATCTTTAAAGGGGTCCAAAACAGTAGATAAAGCTGACATTGACAATAACGCATTTGATAGTAAAATGTTATTTTTGCACTTACTTGTTTGAGCAATGTTCCGGCAAGAAAATATCGCATTATGAAATCATCCGTCAGCTTTAGCTTCGCAGGATCTGTAATACATAAAAAAACATTAAAACATGTCAAAACCGCGACTAAACAAAACCATAAACAAGGTAAACTCACCATCATCACAGTCTTTGGCCCGTAAGTTGGCCTGCAGCGGCAAATTGAACGGCACGAAGTGTTCGTGCGTGCAAATCGTTTGCAAAAACGTAAACTTGAAGTCAAACAACGCTTTGGGGTCGCACGCTTTGAACTTATCCAAATATTTTTTGATTTGTCGAAACACAAAACCTCGGTCCATAAACGACAGGCAAGACTAAAAACAAAACAGTCATATTTTTTAACGTCTGTTACCAACTGCCTTACTTTGAATTTTATCTCATCCGTATAAGGTCTAATTTACCTTGAGAAACATGGCAAGGTTTTTGTTGAATATGTGAGTTTGCATTGGCTGTTGCAAGATGTACGATGGTTCAACCACAGTCATCAATTTGTCTATGTTCTCCAACAAATCTGCGTGAAACCTCTCATGTCTTGACATCTAAAAAAAAGTGTTAATAAATGCGATATTTCAACAAAAAAGTTTGACTACTATTGTAAAATTGATTTTTTTAATGTACCTTAATTCGGCCAGTATTTATCAAATACTGAGCCATGCTCTTGATGACGATGTCGAAGAAAAACGAAGAGTACTGCATAAACTTGTGTCCTAACAAAAAATCTTGTTGATTTGGGTCCACGAACATGTGTAGTGGTGCCGTCAACACTGTATGTAATTTGAACTCCACGCAGTTGAAAACATACTGAAATAAGAAAATATTTTATATTGATTACTTATTTATAAATAACATATTTCAATATCAAAAGGCTTCAACAAATACGTGCCGCATTCCTACATACAAATATCGCAACATTTTACCTTTACATAGCTATCCAGGAGATCCTTTCGTCCATAATCATGGATCATGTGCACGAAGTGAACAATGACCTTGACAATTTGGTAGCCCATATCTTGGTTGTAACTTTTTTCAACCGTCTGCAAATAATCATAAAATTAGCTAATAAAAAGTATTTTACGAGATAAATCCTTGCAAATAAAATAAGTACAATAATGATAAGCGATTACTCAAAGGTAGATCTAGTTTTTTCAACAAGTGTTCAACATCCTAAAACACTTGCTTTCAAAAATTGTATGACAATTACTCATCCAAAGAAATGTATTTAAAAGTTAATGTTTGGTCTTCTCGGCTAAATAATGTGCAAAAAATTCTTAAATATCGCGGTTCAGAAATGCACACCGCCATCTATCGGTGATATTATGTACTAAGCGCTTATGAAAAGTGGTTCGTGTTTTCACCCAGTAAATCAATTTGGAACCCTTTATGAAGTCTCCACAGGTGAATACTTTGAACTTATACACTTATAAAGATGTGATATAAAGGTATGCATATTTACCATCAACTCGAAAAGCTGATTCATTATCGTTGGCAAGAATGCGATCAGGGAACTCAGTTTGATCGCGTGTGCAGCTTTCAGCGCGTTAACTACGTCATTCCACGGCGGGGGCGAAGGGGACGTGGGGGGAGAGTTGGACTTTATCAGGCGTTCTGCTTGGCTGAACAAGTTGTGGAGGTGCATGTCGCGCGTGGCTACAGTCGAGTCGAGGACCAGTTGGCAACGGAATAGCTGCTTTTCACCTTCCACCCACACCACTTCTGGGCCTGTATTCTGTAACAATAACACAATAATTCAATTTTTAACAGGTGCTCAGTCGACTAACGACTTAGCGACAGCGCAAATTGGGCGACAGACGCGGCCACAAATCGTTATTTCATATTATTAGCTTATCGTCGCGACATGTCGCGGAGTTGCAACGACAGCTAATATATGAAATGACGCATGCATGGGTTTTGTCTAGCGCCGCTTTTTTTGTCGCCCAATGTGGGCACATTGGGCTTTAGGTAACTGTAAGCAGTTAGTCCCAATTTCCAAAGCGTGGTGTGAATCACGTTTAGTCAAGATTTAAAGCATAAATTACATATTAAAATGTTTCGTGAACATACCCCTTTTCCGAGTCCCAGAGGTTGAATCGATAGGTATCCGGAGGGCAGATGCGTCGCTATTGGCAAGTTTATTTGTTCCTCTACGAGCTTATCGTTTTTCAATAGTGGCACCCATGCATACCTAAAGCAGAAATACACACATAATAATTATTGAGTTCTGGTTTACACGTCTATTAATGAGTAGAGCTTTTCCAAGAAGCCTAACGTGGTAAAAATTTGCTGACTGAAAAGTTAGCACTTACCCGATGCACGTTTCGACATTAGCATCATTCTTCTTCGCGATATCGCAAGATATGTGGTGGAACGTGAAAAGCAAGTGGTGCTGTGAAGTGAGGGTGGCGGGCAGACGGATCTTGGCCTCGTCGCACCACGTTGGGTTCGCGTTGTGGTGCAACACTGAACAGCGGTACTGTGACGTCATGCCCGTGCGACCGTATACCACCTGGGAAGTAAGGTGTGACGTGTGATAGACTTAAGAATGACAGTACAAAGTAAAGAGGACGGACGTAAAGGAAGAGACTAGTGATATTGATACAACACGTAAACGTTGTAGTAATTTAAGAGAACATAAATAAGTAGAACAGGAAGTTGCTCATATTTACAAGAAAGACAAATTTTGAGAAGAATATGTTTTGTGTCTGAAGTAAATGAAAACAACCCAGAAACATTAAGAGTTTCAACCAACAGTTTATCTAACACATGATTATAATCTCACCAAGAGAGCTTATCTGTAAAGGTTCAGCCAAACCAACACGATCAGCCGGCGTGCAGCGATGGCGATCAATGTTTTTAAGTCTGATCACCATCGCTGCACGCCGGTTGATCGCGTTGGTTTGGTTGACCTTTAATTTTAAATTGTGCATTGAAGCCCATTCCATAAATTTAGAAAAATAAAACATATTAAAAGATTCCCAAAAGACACAAATAGTATCAAACAACGAACCTATACCGAAAACTTACCTGTAAAGGTTTATTGTCCCCCGTATCGCTATCTCTCAATTCAATAGAGCATGCGATGTTCCTGGCTCGTACAAACACTTTCTGGGACTCAAAGTTGAGGGCCAAAGGTCTGACATACAAATGGTGTACGAAGGCCGCATACGGTTGTTCTGGTTCCACGTTCAGTGTTGCCAGTTCAACCGTGAGGGGAGACGCGGGCGGCAGGGGAAACGGTTTCAATGCTGCGTACGCGCTCGTCATGCAATCTGAAAAACAAGATAATTGAAATCTTATTTATTTGTACACAAGGTGTGTTTTTGAGGTGTGTGGTAATTCCGAAACTTAAAGAAGGCGGAAATGCTGAAAGGTATCACGGTCAGTTAAAAATTATTGTGCATTATTCTATTTTTGTGATATTTTTCTTGTCCTAATGCCAAAAATGCTTTAAAATCATAGGCTATATTATTAAGACGGGATTATACTGTCGTATTCAGCAAAGTAATGCTAAATAAAGGCAAGGCACTAAGCTAATCTAACTAAACAAAACTTGCTTGAGACCTGCTGGTCTATTCAAAATATGTAACAATTTGCAAATACATACTTACTTGGGACTAATTCATTACTCTGCTGTATGTTAATACTGAGCCATCCAGGTATCACAGTCAGTTTGGCCAGTTTCTCTGGCTTTCGGAAATCTGAGAGAATCTTTACAAGATCCTCGTCAGACATTTTGTTTGGTTCCTGCCGGTAAATGGCGGAGAATTCAGGTGTTGTGTCCAAGTCATTGCTGTATAGTCTGCGAAGAAAGAAATCATAATATATTTAAATTATCCAAGTAAACTAGGCCATTAATTTATGTTTTTGTAGTAAGTATTTATGATGAGAAAGGTATAAATGGGTGTTGAAAAAGGGACACAATGTCATTAGCAATAGAGATGTGAATAGTAAAATCAATGTTTCTATGACACAACTCCAACATTACATAATGAATATGGCATAAGGAAAGGGTGGGCAACACTTGATTTTAAAGAACTTTAATAAGATTTTTTTCCTTCCGAAATTATGTGAACAAACATTTTGTTCTACACAATTTCACCTTTTTTGTTGTTTCTACCGTATGAAGATAGTCATTCAAAATTGACTGTGCCGCGATAAATGTTATCGTTTTGTAAATGTTTGAGTTGTGTCATAGAAACATTGATTTTAGTATTCACATCTCTATTGCTAATGACATTGTGTCCATTTTTCAACACCTATCTATACCTTTCTTACAGTTTTTAGTTTTCTTACCTAAACAAAGGCTTAGCAGTCCACGCGAAAGGCATCCTATAAGTCCCTACGCGGTTGGCATACGCTTGCACTGTCTTGTGCACCTTGAGCCCTAGCCGCGGGTCCTTGGTGGCTTTCTGGTAGGGCTCCAACACTTGGCTCACATGCCCTTGAAGAATCTTGTCAATCTTCACTACTAGGAATAAGTCTGGGTGAGGGTTGTTCACTGAGAGGATTGCCTGGAAAATGTACAGTTATTAGGTAGGAAGCTTAGAAGACATTTTAAATTATTAGAATTTCAATTCGCTTATAATTTTACAAAAATAAATAGTTAATAATTCAATATTTGAAATAAAAAAAATAGAGCAGCTTTTATTAGCTTGTGGTATCCTTTCTCCTCTTGCATCTCCGTCAGCAAAGACAAGCCCTGGCGGTCTTGATGTACGTACGCCTTTTTGTCAGAGGGGCACAAGCACTTAATGAGGGCTATCGTTTTTATCTTAACAGTTGGTACCCCTGGCGATTGACAGGACCTTACTCTACAGTGGCGGCATCTTGATGAGTGCAAATGCGATAGTCCTCCTACCACTTTAGCGCTCACCAGTTGGTGCAACTGTCTTCGCTACTAGCAAGTGACAGGACCTTACTCTACAGTGGCGCTAACTGGTGAGCGCTAAAACGATAGCCCTCATTGTCCACTTGTATACCTTTTTTCTATTCTATTCTACTACTTTTTTTTGTACGCCGCACAGTTACATTTGTCTTATTTGTATGAGAATTACAACACTGCGCTGTCGCCGTTGCTGCTTTAAATGACAGAATTTACACAAATGACAATGGCTTGCAAATTAATATAGCAACGCACCTGCTTTTTCGATTTGAACCACTCCTCCGGTATTTGTTTAACATCTAACTTAACGTCGTAGCTAAAATTCTCTACTAATGACTTCGTGCACTCCGTATCGTTGACTAGATCCTTCACAGCGGCGTGGTTGAGGTCAAAGTGGAAGTTTTCTGTCAGTTTTTTGCCACTCCTCGCGTCGTAGAGAGCGAGATAGGTATAGTAGGGTTCCACCTGGCACAATAGCTCTTTATCGCCATCTATTGGCGCTTGTAACCTAAACTTTAAGCTTTCGCATTTGAGCAAAATTCTTTGGCCGAAGTGTTCTCTGGAATGGTGAAATTACAGATTAGAATTAAGACTTAGTTGCTATGTAAAAGTAATATTATTCAGTTTGATTTAAGTGTGTCTGTATGTAGTAAGGTAGTCTTTTAGGTGTCGGAAACAAACAGATACATGTATAGCGCGTTCCTGGCAATAATGGAGTGGCACGGGAGAGATGAGAGCCGTCGTGATACACGTCTGAAGTCTGGCATTTCACGTAACAAAACACATCGTCCCTGCACTACCCCAATGCCGTGGGATTCAGTTATGCGCAGTCTACAGTTACTTATTGTTATCTACAATTATTCCATACTCACTTGAATGGTTCTAACTGAGGTTCAGGCGAGGGCGCCCGCTTGTATGGCATGCTAAATATATTGGAGCGATACTCGTTGCGCGCCGCGGCTATGGACATATCGGTTTCCCGGGAATACCGCAGCAGCAGGGGATTCATGCTGTGTTCGAGACCCTTCAGGGTTCCGTAAGTCGGGGGAGGAGGCTCCGCTGTTAAGGACACGTCTGCGTCTAAAAAGAATTGGGTAAAAAATAACAAAGAAAAAACCCATTAACAGAACATGAATGTATGATTTAGGTAATTGAATTGTCTTGTCGCCACTGTTGAGTTACATTGTACTTATGATTTCACAGTATACAAAGGATATGTATTTGTTACTTAAAATAAACCGATGGGATTCCATCAATGTTATTACTCATTATAGGCCATTATAACAATGTCACACTTGTTCATGGAGCTATTAGCTTCATGAAAATGATGTCATCCTGATAACTGAGGATTCTATAAATACGGTACTTCACCAATTTCCAAGAATAAGGGAGGAGTAACCGTCATACAGATAAGATTTTTTACCTTTATCTAAAATCTCGTCATTTTGATTGTTTTCTTCGCTGTCTTGAGTCTTCTTTAAAGCAGCATTGAAGGCATTTATCCAACCATTCATCTCCTCCTCATTTTCAGTTGCGAATGTGTAGCCTTTGCCGCCGGCCATACGCAACTCAAAGCAAAATCTCCCGCGCTTAGGATTCTAAAAATAAACAAGGAAATCTATTTCAATTTATGTAACAAACACATTTAATAAGATCAAAAGGCTACCGCATATGATTTCTATGAATCAGAGACGCAAAAAGGGTTTTCCTATACAATATTGGCAAGTAGACCACATAATAAACAAATACATATCCCCAAGCAAGCAATCACTTTTAAATTCCCCAAGCAAGAGCTAATACTCGTATTGCCAATGCGTTCCTCGTCTTAGCAGAATCATAGCTTTTCTCTTTACGGCTTTTTTTTAACTCTAATGGATTTTTAGTTTATTAGTTGATAGCACCTTGACTGGCAAAATTAAAACCAGGTCGAGGCTTTAAACAAGGTCGCAACTGATTAAACACGACAGGTAAAAAATTGCAGGTATAGTTCTTGCAACTCACGAAGGCGAGTGAGCTTTACTTGTATAATGTAGTACATACACATAACGATAGTGTAATGTCTATCAAAACTTTTGAAAAACGAACAGTAGCAAGCCACCACACAGCATGTAAAGCTCAGTCGCCTACGTGAATTGCAACAACTATAAGGACATACCCTCACAACATCTGAGCAGAAATCCATAACAACGGTGAGCTTCGTATCAGTTTTCTTCTCGTCTTTATACACTTCGAGAATGTAAGTGCCGTCCGCTTCTCTGACCATTGAGCAATATCGTTTCTTAAACGATTTCGAGGCGAGATTGCTGAATATCCTATCTGAGCCGATCTCGGGGCCTTTGAGCAGGTAGCCCTCTTTGGTTCCGATGTCCACCTTCGCTGCTTGAGCTTCATGGTCGCTTTCAGTCTCGGTGTCGATGTCGTATACTTCTTCTGGCAATTTCAGGGCTAAAGGCCTAGCGAAATAAAAAAAAACAATGTATCATTCGAGTCAAAACCGACCGTATGCATAAGCGCAGCTTATACCACAGCTCAAGCCTAAATGAAGAAAGACATGTCGCCCCGCAAAAGAAACCATGATGTCTAATTGTCTAATAGATGTAGGATTAGGAGGCGTAACATAACGGTCATCAGCATCACAATAGATATAGTAATGTTCCATTGAGTTCCAATGCTTATTTCGTAAATTGTTTGCCAAATAAATATGTAGATGGGCTTTTACTGAGTCTGCTATTTAAAATTCAGCAGTGTAATAGGTACTATTACATTAATAAGGCTTTCAGCCTTCACATTTAGTTGCAAAATTATTTTAATTTCCATCTTAATGTTGTTAGTAGCAAATGCAATTAATTAATATCCTAACAAAATTCGCTGTTCGAAAATGACTCATAGGTAAATCCGATAAATAGAACAATGGCCTTGTAAAACTGTATCAAAACTGTTGTCCATGCACTCACTGTTGTGTAAGTATGTTAATTAGGTAGCTAATATCTGACCGAACTGTTTGCTACATATTTAACGCTTATCATTTATCAGGAATCATTTTCCGACATCTAGGTACAATGCGAACGCTCATGAAACTAACATAACATGTGGCATTGACATTTGATTGTTAAGTTGCACATAATGCAATTTGCATGATAATAAGTTTTTAACTGCCGGGCGAAAATTGGAACTTAATGCGCAAAATGTGTGGACATTATGATAATTATGCACATTGGACTGACATGGCATGAGAAAATAGATTTCAAAGGCTAATAAAGCATATAGACTATGGAGTCTCCTGATCCTGTAATGGGATCTGTTTAGCTTATGCTTCTGGTGTGATTTCTGGAAGAGATAGGTACCTACTAGGTATATTTTTTTTCATTCCTTACTTTTCAATGAATAGCATACAACACACACTGGTTACTTGTACCCATACCTGTGATGCATAAGTATGAGTGAATACAACATTATAATAATTCTCTAGAGACACATGTTATGTTACTGCCATTTGGGAGTTGTGGAAAACGTAAGAGAGAAAGTTTTGAATTGCTGTGTAGAAATAGAATGGAATTCTCATAAGTCATAAAATATCTAATTAAACATACCTAGGCAAGTTGAGATAAGTGCCGGAATAGCTGCTATATTTGTAATGTATGAGGTTCCAACTAGACGCATAGCTGAGCAGCGCTTGACGAGTCAACAGTGGGCAGGTAGCGGCTGTTCGTACATCTGGCACTGCAGTGGTGACCGTCCTCCAACGCCTTGGTAGAACTACACTCTGAAATTGGAACATTTTTATGAATGTGCACAATGCAGTGGTCTATCATTATGTCTCAAAAGGCTATTTACTAGTAGTATCACATTTACAAATGATTGAAGTCTATGCAAATTCAAATAACACTTAATAAACTAATAAAAGTAGAATACTAAATAATCTGTAGTCATTAAAAGACGACTCTGTGTTGAAGTAAATAAAAATATGAATAACTAAATATTAGAAACACTTACAGATACATCATCAGGTGGATATAAAAGAATGTCCCTTAGAGGATCATTCATCAATAAGGTTTTATTTTCTTGGATGTATCTTTCGAAGTCCAGGGCTGTGCATTTGTTCACCACAATATTCTGAAAACATTTTAATTTGGCAATTACAAATGAAAAAACTGAAAATATACAATGTAATAAAACTTTACATATGAAAGTGATTACATACAGCCTTATTCAGAATGAAAATACAGATTAACTAGAACTAAACGACAAAGAGGTACAAAACAATATTGTGGTCACAGATAAAAATCAACTTGATGGTCATAAAATAATGTGCATCAACCAGTTTTATCATGAATATTAATGAATTGAGTAAATACTTCAAAACTATGACAAAACTGTCATTGGTTAGAAAGGATGACCAGTTCCTTTCAACATGCACACCATTCTGAAGCTTATGTTATGTAAATATTAAATGCTGAGCAGACATGGTAATGCATTTAATGTATAGAAATGTTAATAAACATACACTCTACTTACCTATGTAAACTCCATTGAATGTGCATTACAATAATGTGCGTTCATTAAGTATGTACTTTGCTAGACTAAATATTTGGTTTTAAATTCCCATTAGTTATTATTTACTATCCAATAAGAATATTTACCTAAGTATCTTTGTATGTTTTAGACTTTAGAGTATGGATATTGACAGATTTGAAGGTAAAAACTAATATGTACAACATTTTAGTACTGTTTACTATTTAAATGGCACAATTTCTATTTCAGTAGGTCAAACCATTTGCTTATTGTTATTGCATTGCATTGATAGATAAAATGAGCTTAAAACACCATAGATAGAATAGGCATATAATAGTTAGGCATAGCAGGCGTGAATATTGCTTTATGCCAATTCTAGAAGTAATGATAACAACAAAAATCTTGTAAAATTTCAAGGAACTATAAATCTCTGACCAATGTAATCTACAAAAATGGTAATAAAACCATGCTGAATCTATAAGATAAAATTACAGCTACGGGAATAATTTTGCTGATGTAGGCAAATATGATCGGTTGGAGTTGGAAGCAAAACAATTTATATTACAAACAAAAAAAAACCTAAAAACGCAATAAGAATTTTTCAATTTCACATGTAATGTTTATTCAATGCAAATGCTACGGTTGGCTAGTTTTTTTTTTAAATGAGAATGTTAAATTACACTATTTTTATCAATAGCGCAAAGCTTTTTGTGGTAAACTTTGTAATGAGAATAGATTTACCTCATACTCTGCGCCACCTTTGGTCTTGCTTTTGGAGTTAACCGGCGGCATGATGTTCGATTCACAGGTAGGATCAAATCAAATCAAGTATAATTCGATTTTACTGAGGTTCACCTTCATGTTATGAATTTATTTTACTGTGTAAAAAGCACTCATACGTAAAATCGCCGAAAGAAAAACCTTCACAAGCCAAACGAACGAGTTCTACTGACAGTTTTGACAGTATCGACTGGGAGAATTGACAGCCAACTTTTTTAATATCAAGCAAAGAAATATAGAATTATAGTTTTAAGAAGTGGATATAATTTCCTTGGTATTTTTTAAGCTAATGTCTTCGAGCGTAGAGCAATATTGGAGACGTCATAGTCTAATACTCTTTTCGCTTTAAATTAATACAGGGTGGTCCAAACTCCAATACAGAGACATTGAAACACTTTTAGCTACATGTCAATCTTTTATTTGAAAATTTAATTCAATACGTTAGTAATTTGGCTGCCATTACTGTTGAATGTTAAATTTTGGTTTGAGTTATAAGCCTGACCAGGAACATAAAAACCCTCGCCATGTTGCGGAAAACTAATGGTACTAATTTCTTTTAATGGCAACAGTAACTGAAAACTTCATTGACATGTCACCTTGCATGTCAGTCTATTGCTGTCAAAGTGTAAACGGGTCATTCCATAAAAATCTGTATATTTTCGACGTCATTTTGTCCGTAACTTTTTTAAGATGCTTTTGAATACTTTATTAGTATAAATTATTGTTTATTAATTAACTATGTTATGTCTAAAAGGGCCAGTCACTTTATGCTTTATTTTAGGAGAAATTATAATTTTCAATTTTTTCATACTACATTACTCCTATATGACTTCTAATAAAGTATAAAACTTTTAACCTTAACATTTATAGATAAGTTAATACACATAATGTAGTTGTTTTGTTATTATCACTATATAAAAAACATCTTTCCCTAACTAGTAATTTAGTCCCAAGTGCCGTTTAAAGCTAGGGCCTGACGCTCTAGGGACTGACGATTTGGAGTAAAACTTAACACAAATGCAGATTAACTTTATATTATAAGATGCTTAATACAATGTGCAGAAAATAGCCAAAAAACCACACGTAAATACTATTAAATTATATACAATTTCCTATTATAATCAATAAAGCTACTCAACTAGGGACTGACGAAGTGACTGGATTAACACATGTTTCGGTAACAACTGGCACGTTTGCACTAATTCAAAAAACGGCTACCGCAAAGCCAGTATGGTCTGAGGATAACTTCGTATCGTACTTTAAACTCAACTAAATGTCATTCACTCTAATTACATATTAAAGCGCAAAATTATAAAATCAGTGCGTGGCGAAGGAATGACGCTAAAAACTGTAGACTCTTTTTCAACTAAAGAAAATCAAATTATTGTTTATTGAAACCGCAAAATATTAATAGAATTTGGTGTAATATACATTTAAATAGATTATTCGTTAATTAAAACAAAGGATAAAGTTGATGTTTTTATAAATGTGGGTCCCAAAACACAAACTTTTGGAGTACGGACATGCCTAGGGAATGACGTTTTGGGTCATCCAAAAGGAATTTAAGATGTTTTAAAAACAGTTTCAAAAAATATAAATGGATGATGAATAAAGCACATTGCGAGCTGTTATTTAACAATTTTGGAATAAAATATTAACAAATATTTCATGTGAAATGTGGCGCGGACTAAGAGTTGACATATTTTTGTGGAATGACCCAAACAAACTTTATTTTAAATGTGCGCAATTGATTTTGTGAATTAAATTGCTAAAATCTTTTTATAGTCGTGAAAGAAAAGTGGTTCACAATGTGTTAAAGTATTTGTCGAAGAGAAATACTAAGGGTTCAGACAATATTTTCATTGAATAATGTTTCCGACAAAGGTTGTCAAATTGACTGTCATGTTTATCGTATAGTACAGTCCACTATGAAAATTAGCTGTGGTTTGTTTCAACTACCTATTTTAAAATTTTCTGTCACTTTCTTAGTGTTGAATTTTATGGAATTGGGAAAGAAATACCGAGTTTGAAGCGTTCATGACCAAACATTGCAGTTGAATATTCAAGTTCTGAATTTGATTATTGATGAATAATAAAATAAATCCTACTAGCTCCATTGATGGTTTCATTTAATTTATTTAAACCAGGTTACCTATAATAATATTTCTTGGTTAATTTATGAAAATATCAAATTAGCCCGTAATCCTGAATCCTGAATTACATAAAGTTAGCCTATTAATTTAACACAGGTACGACTGTACTCAGTGTTGCACTATCAAATGCGATTGACGCGCCTCTATGCCAGGGTTTTTATGTTCCTGGTCAGGCTATAACTAAATAATGATGTTTCATGTTCTGTCTGATACATACGCGTATAACTACTAAAATAATGGTTGCGTATTTTAATGGTTTAACCATGGTTAAACGTATTTTATAAACAATCGAGAGCTCCGGATTTGAACCAGAATCTTATGGCTCTTGAAACATGGTTTTAATGGGTTTGAAATAAAATTCAACGTAAGTTTCAACGTTTTATGTTGCGTACGTACTTACCTACTTACTTAGGTTGTACTTGTATAATATATTAGTAAAGTGTGTAAATTAAATTGTGAGGAGAGGCAATTAAAACAAAATGTGATAAAACTTTGTATATTTTTGGTCAAATACATTTAATACCTACATTAATTTTTATAACAGGTTTTACACAAAATTTCGGTGTTGTTTGATCAAAATGTCACAGTAAAAACGACTATAATATTCAGTGTCCTAGTTATTTACAGTAATCCAAGTGGAATTATTTAAGAGACGCCTACCTACATAAAACATCATGATTGATTACATTATTTTAATAATTCATTTATAAGAGAATTCGTTTTGCATCCAACGAATAGATTAATAAAATAAGTTTACCTACTTACAGAAATATTAAATTAACAACAAAACTACAATAACTATTTACAATTCTTATTATGACTTCATTAGACATAAACAAAATCTTTAAATCAAGATTTTTGTGTTATGCATAAACTTATTACATTAATTTCGGAGGATTGAAATGGCACACTTTAACATAGAGGGATAGGTAAATGTTGATTTTAATATGGAAACACTTACTTATTTTTAACATTTTACCATATCTTTAATTTTAATATTAACTTAGTTATTACATCTGACCTACAACTTTATTTAATTCGTGTGCTGGTGCGATGAAATGAAATGTTTAATGCATCATATTGAAAACTAATATAACTCCATCTTTAAAAAAAAATAGTTTAACAAAATTGTATTTACAATATTCAGTCATGATTTAGTGATGATATACAAGCAAAATAATATTAAACTAATCATTTACATTCCTTAACTTTCTATTGGGTAGGCAGGTAGGTACATTGTTATTTTTTGGTATATGGCACATAAACAACTTATTTACCATGTCGCGTCACTTGAAGTACGAGACATGTTTGGAGCTTTCTCCTGAACTTAATTTAGGCCCAGTAATTTAGTTCTCTAAATTAAAAATATCACACTTAGATAATGAGTATCATCACCTTCAAGTACCTACTGCCCGATACATTCCAAACTTTAGGAATGATTTCCTTTAATTTCCATGGCAGAACCTGGAATGCGAAGGTGACGGCTGCGGCCTAGGGCGAGGAGCGCGGCACATACTGAGACGAAGGCGCGAGCGCTGCCCGTCAAGTGTATTCCTCCTCCTCTTCTTCTTCGCTAGATTCAGACTCAGTGAGGTCATGTTCAGGCTCAGGCAAAGGACGAATGTAATCGACAGTTGGCTGCTGATTTGGAATCAGGTAACCGGCAGAATCTTGCGAGGGTGGGGGCGGGCAGGGCAGTCGCATCTGCACCGGCGCCCCACCTGTCGCTGCTGCTACTTCTAATTTCCTACATATTTCATCAAATCCTATCCGATCCCGTGGATCAGTCTTCCAACAGGCGCGCATCAGTTCGCCCGCGAATCGCGGACAATCTTCTGGAGGTACCAAAACTATACCTTGAAGAATTCGTTTCGTTGCTCCATCGTTATTGTAGCCGTAGAACGGTTGTTTTCCGCGGCTATAAATTTCCCATAGCACTACACCGTAAGACCATACGTCAGACTCGTGAGTGAAGCGGGCGTATACTATGCTTTCGGGAGACATCCAGCGCACAGGCATGGGGCGTTCTCCTCCCATTTTATAGTAGTCACAAGTGTACACGTCTCGGGACATGCCGAAGTCTGCAATTTTAACCGTCAAATTGTCGCCGACTAAGCAATTTCGGGCCGCGAGGTCTCTATGTACGAAGTGGCGGGATGCGAGGTATTGCATTCCTCGGGCGACTTGCAGGGCTACGTGGAGAAGTGCTGGGTCGTCTAAGTGAGGCCCAGGGCGGCCTCCTCCTTTCGAGCCACGCAGTACTCCCGCGAGGTCTCCCCATTTCATGTATTCGAACACCATCCAAGGACTGGCACCGATGTCATCTGGAATTTTATAGTTGTACTTAAGAAGAGCTTTTAATTTCATTATTAAGGATATGAATATTGCTAGTCGTAAAAGTTAAAATTATTTTCTTTCAGATAAAACTAGTACCTACCTACTTGAAATAATCAGTAAACTGATCATAATATCAATTATAGTATTTTCAAGACTTTTGATTGTAGGGATTTTACCTCCTGATAAACATCTTTGAATTCATAGCAAGTGGGCCTAATATTTAGATAGCGAATGATGTTATAGCAACGCAAAGTAATTTACTTATTAGGTACGATAAGTCCATCCATCCATCCATTCTACATGTTAATCAACAATACAAACCTCTATGCACCACTCCTATAAGTGTGAGGATGTTGGGGTGCCGGAAAGCGGACATGATTGACACCTCCCTCACAAAGTCCTCCTCGGCACTCCGTCCCACGCTTTCCTTCAACACCTTGATGGCCACTATGTGCTCTCCGCTAGTGGCTCGAAGTAATCCTGCAATTAAATAGGTACTTAACAAAAAATACACATTAAATACGAGTAGAAGGTAAGGCGAGCTATTATTGTATAAGGTACGAAAATATAGTCGGGTGTTTATTTATAAGAGGCACGAGCTTTCCCTAAGCTTCAAGTAAGTAGATATGCCACGTGACAAAGCGATGCTGTAATGAGCATTATATCTAACAATGAAATTGAATAAGACATAAGTAAGTAGTGAAGAGATGTCTTTAACTGATCTTATTTATAACTACACTAAGCAAAATTGTTTAATTCAAACTTGTTGAACAAACCTTTATGAACTTTCCCAAAGCACCCTTCCCCGACCTCCTCAAGGAACGTGAGTGCGTTCCGGTCAATATGCGGCACCTGTTCCCCGGTCTCCTCTGCGCCGGCGGCTAGCGCTGCGCCCGCGCCGGCTCCATACACGCCGTACTGAGGGTTCGTTATATACCGTTCAGCTAGCAACGGCTCTCCAGGTCGTCGCTACAAACAGGATAGTTGGACCAAAAAATTACACAGCGAGATGCTTTGCTACGTTACGAAGTTTATAGGACATGCGTGTTATAGCAAAGAAAAACAAGAACTTAGAGACACGTCGCACAGTGGGGCCGAAAACTAAAAACGAGAAAAAAAAACTACATAAAAAGAATAAGGCTACGAAAGGCGTAACTTTTTTGTCATGCTCTTTAATTCATGCTTGAAAATTGGAGTAATTGGTATCACTTTAAACAAATATTTTGTCAAAGTTTATATCAATGTTAATTTATCAGACTTGTTATTGTAGCCCAATATTTCATGATTGTGGTAATCAATTGTTGTTGTTCAAGTCTATTAAGATTTATTTGTTGTCTATTACCTGGCTTTACCTCAACTTTGGCAAACAAAAATATTTTTTATTCAGGGGCAGTTCGTAGATTCCACGAAAACTCTTTGAGAGTACTTGAGGCGAAATAAAACTAAATGATGCTAATAAAGCTTTATTTTATTCCAACCAAAAATATAAAAACAAATGAAAATCACAACACATTTTTGAGCAATCTTTTAAAGTTTTATCAGACCCACAGTAGTACTAAACTATTCTGTGCCCACTGTGCGTTTGAAAGATAGAATAAGAAGCGTTAGGTAGAGTTAGCGTTGTCAGTTTCAATAGCCTGGCCTACCGGTTGCGCTTTGCCGTCGACTCTTCGCATTCGTCTTCTGACGTAGAAGATAATGACGGAGATAACGAGCAGGATGAAGACTACGGCGCCAATGACGGCAGTGCCGAGAAGTACTCCAGCTCCATTGACTCCGGCGGCTGGGAGGTCGCTGCTGGTAGAGTCGGGAAACACGTCCCGACTCACGAGAGACTTGGAAATCTGGTGGACAAAAAAGGTAATTGACAATATATTTCGCTACAGTCGTGGGTTTTTCAGAAACTAAACACATACAAATTTGAGGCAGATAGGTTCCTAGACGTCCGCTAAGAATGTAGGTATTTTACGAAACTCCACCTCTAAGGGGGTAAAACGGGGGTTGGAAGTTTGTATGAAAGTCGTTTTCACGCGTACGAAGACGCGGGCACAACTAGTTTGTCATATTGATTTAAGACTACCGTTTAGGCGTTAAATAACTTCTCGGGCGTCATTGTATTTTATTACGGTCGTTCAATTCTCAGATTGACACACGAGAAAACAGTTTGTGTTTGTTCCTTCCAGTTTGGTTAGGACATGGTAGGCTTGAGTCACCCTTAAGTATTGCTTGAAAATAAATATTATCCTGGACTTAAGCTGTCGATCTTATTGAGCAATGTCAGATTTGTGACACAGCGGAAGAAGATTTATGTGCGTTTGTAAATGGTTAAAAAACTAATACATTCTATCCATTTAATTTTTCATTGTAGTTAGGTAGAGCCTACTGAAAGCCTTAAAACACTTCTGGTACTCCATAAAATATATTATTATACCAAGTATTGATTTATTCAGCAAACCTATTGTACCTATCGGAAACGCAAAGCTTTACTATTGATTGATAGCACAATGATAAAAGCTAAAATATACTACGTGGAACGTGGGCAGTCTTTTAATTTGGTTGACAACGTTATCACGCTGACCCAACATGAATATTTATCAGTTCATGGAAAAATACTGATTTTGTTTTCCATCTCGCGCAAATGGGTATCTATTTTACCTAACCAGAGACAAACAAAATAGATAGTAAAGGAAAAGATATAAATGTTTTATGGCTTGCATTACAGGATTGCTGCGGCTCTTATGTTACCATAAGGAGGTAAAGTGATTTGTTTCTTGGATTGCTCCTACAAATGCTAAAATTAGAGTTATACCTATATGAGCAAAGAAAACAGCAACGCAATAATAAAACATGCGAAAATTTCTCACGCTTTAAAAAATTAAGTGCGCAGAATATGAAACCTGCCATGTAAGAATGATTAACATTTATTAAACGGTACTAAGCTCTCCGTAATTTCTTTCGCATTACCATAATTTACTGCTGGTACATGTATTTATTGATTATTACGGTGTAATTTCGCTGCGTCTAATATTAAAATTATCTGCTGTTGTACTGAATCTGCTGTACAGAATACGTAATTACCGTTGATTGCCCATCGATCTCGATTAATTCTTTCCAGGACACAAGATTGCAGGGCAAACAGACCGTAAATTGTTCCTATCTTGACTGACTTGAGTTAATGTGTCATGCGGATGAGCGAGACTATAGATAAAGTGATAAAAACCGGTCAAGGTAGAGTCGATTTTCAGTTATCAGGGTTCCTTCCAGGGTTAGGGTGTTTCAGAAGCTACTCATTCTCGATAACTTTACAATCCCGTCTGCAATAATAATATTGTAATTGGTTTTATTATAAAGTTACTAAGAATGTCGATTAGTCATGTATAAGTTACTAGTAGGTAATCACCAATTTGTGAACTATTTCTATATTTCTTTTCGGAACATCCTTTGCAAAAGACTAAGAAAAAATAACAAAATAATATATTAAGGAATTATAATAATCTATTCTATCTAGCTAACAGTGCTAGATGTAGAGACAAATTTAGACGGATTTAATCTGACTTAATGCACAAAATAAGTAAAGACTTCAAACTTTCCGCTTAATTTAACAGGCTTTGTAGAGTTTATAATCCCTATGAACCCCAAGACTTGTCTGTATAATGAAGATGGATGGATACCTCGTCCGAAGCCGACGACACCGACTGGCATTCAGCGGACGTGAATATTTTTCAATCAATGTAATGCGGAAAACAATTTTTAATTGACTTGAATCGAGAAACCCTAAAAGGTGTCTGTATAAAAAACTGAATTAAAATGGCTATAGATCAGAGGCTAGTGACAATACCAACCAAACCTATCTATAAAAACACAATGAAGATGGATGCACTTCATCAGAAGGCTGCCATGGTGGTGACGCAACTTACCTACTTAACTCTCCGCTAAGGCGCGTATAGGTAGGTATATGTATATATTTATGTGTGTGCTTCTTATTTCAATATTGCAATGGGGAAAACCCTTAGAAAAACATTAAAAGAACCCTAAAAAGAGACAATAATGATGGATGTTTACCTCATCAGAAGCTTATTTATCATTTCAATTGTTACGCGGGAAACATAAATAAGTAAAAATACAAGCCGTGCCTGCGACTTCGTACACGTTAAAACTGTTAGAATAATTTTCCCGTTTTCGTAACATTTTTAATTAATGCTCTGCTGCTTAGTCGTAGCGTGATGGTATATGAGAGCCTCCTCAGCTGCAAAAATATTTTTTTCAATTCGGACCAGTAGTTCTGGAAGTTAGTTCGTTAAACCTAACAAAATAGTAGTCAGTAAAGTATAGATAGAGAGAACAACGAGGGAACCCTAAAAAGTGTCTGCGTAAAAACGTAATGAAGATGGATTACCTCGTCGGAGGCCGGCGACGCCGAGCGACTTTCCGCGGAGGTGTTTGACGTGGTCGGTGGGATGATGTTGTGGATCGGCACCGGCGTCACGGGCACTGGAAAAAGGAGAAGTTTATTAGAAGTCTGTAATTCATAATTTATTTATTCATTGTTATGTTTAAAAAAAAGTATCTTAAAGCTAAACATGAACTCTGTGGTCAAAAGGTGCGAGCGAAGAGCTTGTTGAAAACGACTCTATATTTTCAGGTTTTTAGGAAGATACTTCTACAATATTATTAAACATTTTTGTAGGCACACTTAAAATAATATAATTGGTATACATATAACTACCTATCTATTTCGTAGATACTAGGCTACTTGGTCTAACTCTTATAACGAGCGTACTTATAGGCTACAAAAACTAAAATTAGATTTTCATAAATTAATGCGAGAAACCTATAAAATTTCATTAAAACATAAAAAGGTACTTTGACAAAAAATCTCAACATTTTCTTGCTTCAAAGAAGTCTCGGATTTTTTCAGTTGTATGATTTCTTTGGATATTTCATTTAAAGTAACAAGTAGAGTACCTACTCGCACCTACACGATTCTTGAAATTTAACTAAAAACAGGCGCAATAATAAAATAAAATAATGATTTCTAAACCATATAATAAGTAGTTTTGGAGCATAAGACGTTTCATTCAGCATTCTTAATTAAACAACAGAATTAACAAACATTCGTGACTCTACCTAACATCACAGCTTTAAACTAAGGCTGGGTTGCACTATCTTACTTTAACTTTAACAAACGTCAAAAATCTGTCAAACCCCATACGAAAAGCATAAGATGACCAGTGTTATCGTTATAGTTACGGTTAAAGTTAGGTGGAGCAACTCAGCCTTAGAAACCATAGTCACCTGTGCTCCTAGGGCATTTGAAGTCACTAGTGGGCGGCAGACCGTTTGAGGTGCACAGGCAGTAGTGCGTCGTGTTGTTATTCAGAGGCACACAGGCCACCTCCTCGACGCCTCCGAGGCAAGACTGGGGCAAGCACGGGCCTTTGAATAGTTTCCCTGAAAAATAAAATTTTGCTCAAAGTAGGTAATTCGCAAACATCAAAAGCAAGGGTATCTCAAAAAGGAAAAAGAAATTCGTTTATGTTTTATGAAAGCTACCCTGCACTATTTTTCTATTCTCATAACTTCACCACCAATAGACCATATTCTTTTATTGGATTTGAACATCTATTGACGGTTGAGACTAAAATTATTAGGTACTTTGACGACGCGCCCCTAATAGAGAAATACTTACTTATACTTAAGTAACTGATAGTTACTTAACTGTCATGTAAAGAACTGCTTCTAGCTCATAAAATATCTAAAATAGAAAGGATGTACCCAATTAGGTACTAAGTAAAACTTAATTCATTATTTTTACTTACCTGTAACCGTCTGGTCCCGTGCCTCCTCCCTCGCCACTCTCGCGCGTTTGCCTCCATTGTCTCGTAGGCGCTGAAACAATAACGTTTAATTAATGTCATTACGTTAACACATCCTACTTTAATATAATATTATAAGAAGAATATTATAAATGCGAAAGTTTGGATGTCTGGATGTCTGTTGCTCTTTCACGCAAAAACTACCGAACGGATTTTGATGAAACTTTACAGTATTATTGTTTCTAACCCAGAATAGCATAAAGGCTATAATTTATGAAGATCTGTGACAAACTAAATTTCACGCGGGTGAAGCCGCGGGCAAAAGCTAGTTGTAACATAAGGGTGCCAGTTAGTGGCACTATGTTTCTGTAATGGTAGCCTGTAACCAAACAAATAATTGATCATTCTATCCATAACCTTGTTATAATATAGAAAACTAGCTTTACGCCCGCGGCTTCACCCGCGTGGAATTTTGTCTGTCACAAAAAAACTTTATCGCTCGCGTCCCTGTTTCAAAAACCGGGATAAAACTATCCTATGTCCTTTCCCGGGACTCAAACTATCTCTATAATATGCCAAGTTTCATGAAAATCGGTTCAGTGGTTTAGGCGTGAAAGCAAGACAGACAGAGTTACTTTCGCATTTATAATATTAGTATAGAAGAGCATATCTTGCAGGCTTAATTATAAGTATTTCCGAACGTAGGTAGCCCTTTTTCATTTCACGCGGTTTCCCGCCGTCCGCCCTCTACCGAAATTGCCCTCTACTCTTGTATACCTACTTTATTTGTACAAACTAAAGTGTTTATCGGCGTTTCTCTGAAAATTATAATTTACTTTTTTCGCGAGGATTCTATGAATGAATGAGATCTGAAATTCTCGTTTGTATTTTTTTAGCCTCGAATCGCGTTTTAAATAGTAAATAAATAACTAACATTTACTACAAAATAACAAGGATATTATGCAACAAACGCTCTTGCTCTAGTTCTACAATCGTTTAGTATATGAAATCCACCGTAACTTGATATCCAGGCTGTTGAATAGCTTTAACAGAAAATAGATACCTAACAATGGACACTATGTTTACGATAAATGTCGATACTTGTTTGTGATCATTTGAAAAGCTTCAACAAGCACAAAAACATCCAAATTTTAGATATGTTTTTCTAAATTTTATATCACGATGAATGAAGCTATATAAAATTGTCATTATTATATCAAAACATTTTATTTTTGGTCTTATATATCTTTTTTTAAATGGAAAGTAAGGTTTCGGATATCAAGAGGAAAAGAGGAAAACTCGAGGCACACGAAAAGAGCCATTCACATAGCCTATTTGACACACAATCAAATATCAGACACGTATGGGCAGATTCGCATTCCCACATGAAGCCTTGCACTGCCACACGCCATCCATAACAAAGAGCTTGGGCAACTCATTTGCTGTCAATTAAAATGTCCTTACATTTTCATATTAATTGGCACACACGTATCTGACTGCTAATTAGTTGAGGCATTCTGATGCATCTATTGTCGCGATTAAGGTAAACAACGAGTTATCTGATCATAGCGGTACTCAGGGTCCGACGCTACGAATGATTTACGAGCTACTTGCTCTTTATTTAACGTAATGCTGGTTGTATGGTCTTGTAAGTGGTTTATAATAATAAAATAAAAATAAGACGATTGGGCAGCGTGCGTTATCTCCTGCCGGTGGAGATGTTCGCCGTAAGTCTATTTTGGCCACGCTATCGTGAGTGGCCGCGCTCCGCCGGCCCGGGGTTACGATAAATCAATAATATCATTGTACATAAGTGAATTATTGATATAAATTCAAAGTTTATGTCTTCGGCGTCAATAACATCCACTTCTGTGCCTATACAAGCGGCAAACATGCTGCCGTAAGTAAGTACATCGCAGCTATCATAAACTGTAATGCACTTGGCATTCTTCTGTAAAATTAAAATTGAGCAGAAGAATCCAACTTTTAATTTGAAATTAAAGTAAGCTTATAAACCCCGAATGTGTGCAAAATACTCAATTCCTAATGACTTAATTGATAAAATTGATTGATGGAATAAAATAACAACTTTACATCTTCAATGAAGATTAAAGTTCCTAAGAGCACCATTCACAGACTAAACAATGTGTTAATTTGGGCAATCAATAACTACTTGTAATAATAGTGTGGTAAAAATAAAACAGCTGTGCTGAATACGATTTCTTCATTCTCTCAAATGCTGAGGCTACTTATGTGTAATTTGGCCTTCATGATATTCTAAAATTAATTATTTATCTGACTTCAGTTATGGTGTGAAAGAACTTAGGTTTGAAGTTATGAAAGTAAGAGGACAACATTTTATCAAAATTAACATTAACTGTCATGACTGATTCAGCAATATGGAAAGGACTTAAAACATGATTGCCTTCAGTGGATTTCCTTTTCCCGAAAAGAAAAACACCATCGCGCCTAGTCTCTAGAGAAAAGCTGTTTTCAAAATCCTGAAATCACTCGTTTGATTATGCGAACCCCCACTGGCTTAATCAAACACCGCTTGTTCGAAATCAAAACGTACAGCGTTGCATTATTTACGTGAGCTTCGTGCAGGCTGAAATTGAAACACGTGTGATCGTGAAAGCTATAGTCCACATTTTGAGGAGACACGTGTAGAATCTAATTGTCATTGGAGTCCCAATAATGGAACCAGGGAGCAGGGAGCTTCTGTTTTCCTAAAGGTGTAGTGATGTGCACACTTTCGTAACTTATGACGATAATCTGACATAAGGGCTACGAAACAAAGCTCAAGCTCGAACCAAACTCATTTAAGCATAGCGTCAAGCGTGTGAATGTTCGAATTTCGATAATTGGACCAAACACATACCTACCTGTATCGAATAAATTGTGATGTGTGTCAATTCATATTATGGGCGCACGAGTTGATTTGAAGAAAAGAAGCCCCTCATTGATTCAACTCAGTTTCTCTGAAAAACTCTACCTAAGTAAGTCCTACTTATTACTTTTTATTATACAATATTGAGTAAAAAAGAATTTCGCTTGAAACTCCGAAAAAGAAGCTTGAACGTAGATTGAATTGCTTTATTACCTCTTAAACATTCAACTAAAGCTTAATTTCAGAATTTTTGGTACTACCTGTGGCATGACTAACGCCCTTTTGTCCTCTTTAAAAACAGATAACAAAAGAAAATTGAACAAAATTTTGATAATAAAACTTATATGACTTTTTATAACAGTTATTAAAAATAATTACATACATAGAGACAAGCCATCCAAGAATGAAATTATTAAGTAGGTACGTAGTATTTATCGTAATTTAATGAAGAATGATTGGATCCCACTAAAACATTTTCATGTGAAGTATTGCCAAGACGAGACCATTACTTCTATAGGTACCTATGGTTCGCACCGTGAAAAAGTTTTCAGATCTCACGTAGAGCCTCTAACTCTATCTACTCGCCACTTCACCACAAACTCTATATGGGTGTAAGGTGAAAAATTTATTCACCCTTTATAAATTAGTAAGTAACAAAACGGCCAAGACACATATATTTTGACTAAGGTAGAGTACCTACAACAATTTGTATGTCTTATTGTCTATGAATCTTTTCGTACAAATTATAAAGTTGACTGTGTTTAAAATGTATTGTTAAAATAGCATTATGAAGCAGATCTCTACACCAGCTGACGTGGGTAGTTCGTTTGAATCAACGTACGCGTAACTTTTATTGCCAGTTACGTAGTTGTTACAAGCGCATTATTATGACTATAAACTACGCAAACGCAGATATTTCAGTATGCATAAGCTTTTTCCACGTGCTTTATACATTAAAAAGTTCAAACACCCGCTTTCAGGCATTATTTTTATATTAGGTACTTACTTTTAACTTGCGTCACTATAAATAAATAAATCATGACTGACTTTTCATTTTCTTTTCACTAAAAGTTATTGTTACAGTAAGAGTAGGCGCACACCGTTGATTTTTAGTTGGCCGATAGTTGTGCCCCATTTCAAATTGTATGAAGAATCAGCCAAATCGAATCGGCGTAGTGTGCGCACTCCCATACATGCCCATACTGATCAACAGCACGACTAAACTATCGGCCGACGAAAAATCAACGGTGTGCGCCTACTCTAAGGCGCTTCTCTTCAGGCGTAATCAAATAAAATTTCATTAAAACCTAACAGCTACCCACCCTCAGAGAAACCACTTCCTAATAGAGAAAACTTTTTTTTCTATTGTACCTACTTAGTTACCTTTGCGTTAGCATTGCCGGTGTTAAGTTAAAAGAAAAACTTGACAAAGAAAGAAAAAGAAAATAAAAGACTAACGAAAACACTCATAAAGGTTAAACCAAAATAACTCTTTACATAAAATCTCTGAACTGAGATAAGTAAGATACCTAAGTTTTAGGAAGGACGAAGATTTTGCTCTTGGTAACAAGATGACCTAAAACTTCTGCGAAACTCGTAACATCCACAAGTTAATGTCGGATGTAGTAGGTAAGTTCTTGTAGATTTTGTTCAGACAAATCAGTTTGTGAGGTTTCGTAGTTACGAGTGTTGTTGTGTTGTTTAAAGTTATTTGAATCTATTAACCCTTTCTTTTCTAGATCAGATAATACGAGTTTTACACAATTCGTCGGTAACCTAACCAATCGAGTACTATTATCCAAACGTAACCCATAAATGTTGTTTTATAGTTCCATTCATTTCTCCATTATGAACACGATAATATGGATTTACGATCGGATATTCCGCTGGACGTGTAACAATATCCATACTTAGATCTTAGATTCTTAGGTATTGCACAATCAGTGGGCATTCATCTAACGGTAAGTGTGGTTAACGAGCGGCTCATTGTGGCGGGTGAAATGTGATCGATACGGCCGCGCGCGCAACAATGACGTCGCCTTTATTGGGCGCAGGCGCAGCATTTTAAAGCCATATCGCACGGGAATTCTTACAAATGTAGTTAAAATGACAAAAAATGCTACGGTAATAAACTTTTTTTTTAAAAGGCTCGAAATTACCCATTCTACTCTTATTTATATACT